GGGAATTAAACGCCCCTTTCTGCTGATTGGTCAGCCGAAGATCAAACCGTGCCGTCATCAGTTCTTCCGCAGTATCATGCAGCAGAATAATAGTCCTCCGCTGCTGCAGTTGTATGGATTCTTAACGCATTTATACATTTCATCTTTTTCTCATCAAACAAACAGACTTATGAATAGCTCGACAACTTGTAACGGGGCAGACTCTAGACAGGGCTTTCTTCTGCGTAGATATAAATTCTATTCTTTGCATCAGCTGGGCATGGCAGGGTATGATATGATGGCTGTCATAGCCTACCCTGCTCACCCAGTAAGTCTGTTTGTTTAATAAAGTAATTCATTCATTTAAAAAATAAATATTTTAAACACTAAGGCAAAAAGGAAAGAATAATAAATTGGCTTGGGCCAATAAATAGGCCTATAATGTTTACACAAGAACTGTCATTCTGACAACAGAACAACAGATCTTAAATAGCCTACTGTTAGAGTTTTATAATGTAGACTTGTGTTTTATTAAAATTGATTATAATTGATATCTCAAAAGGATATGCACTTGTGCATGGCGTGAGCTGCTGCGCACTCGCACAGGACTGCAACGCAAGATTTTCATAAAAGTTTCTCACCAAACCCACAGCATACCTTCAGAATGCTTGGAATATACGCCATGAGATGCATAGGATTATTTTAAGACAAATATGCATCCGCCAAAAAAAATTTAATTGGCAAGTGCGAGCAGAACATTTTTGTGTTATTAAGTAATAAGCCTTTAGAACAACATTAAGGTGAGTAGTCACTAGTTCACACAGTTCCAATAAATTGCGATGGGTTAAATAAACTCAATAAGCAGACAGACTACAGTCAAGCGCAGATCAGTATTGAAGTGCACAGGAAACAAGTAGCAGTCATATTTAAAGCAGTTTGAATATGCAGTTTAAATTAATATTAAGTACTGATTGATGTTAACTTGGATTTTTTCCCCATCGAGGAAAATGGTAAAATGTATATTTTTATTTGTGTAACGTTACTGCAGGAGGCCAACCAGTTGGAGAGGAAAAGGAAATGACGTCCTGTACAAAATGTTGGTGCAATAATCAATAATCCACTCTGGTGATATTAGATTAATTTTAGTTGAGGTTCAGCAGTGTTTTCTGTAACCGTGAGAATGTCACTCCAGCATTTTCTTTGATTGGCTCATTTAAGGTTGCTAAGACTGTTTGCTAACGGTGTTTCACAGTGATAGACAGAAGCATTGGGTGAAGTGGTCATACCCGTGCTTTATCATAAATAAAACCGGAATTAAGACTGGAATTAACCATTTTGTAAGGCTAAGAAAATGATGACAACATTTTCATTACAGACTTACGTTACATTCAGGTCATGCGTCGTGATACTCTCCAAAATGGTGATATAGGGTGATGCAGTGGAGACGAATTGTTGAATAAAGTCGTTATTTTTGTTTTCTTTGAGAACAAAAAGTATTCTCGTAGCTTCGTAAAATTATGATTGAACCACTGATGTCACATGGACCATTTTAACGATGTCCTTACTACGTTTCTGTGCATTGCTCGTGGTAGTTCCCTTGCTGTCTATGGAGGGTCAGAAGGCTCTCGGATTTCATCAGAAATATCTTAATTTCTGTTCCGAAGATGGAACGACGTGAAAGTGAGTAATTAATGACAGAATTTTCATTTTTGGGTGAACTATCCCTTTAATGTTTTGCTTTGACTGGACAGTATCAAAAAAAGCTAAAAAGATAAATGTTGGTAACTACAAGGCTATTTTAAATATCATTTGCAGTTTCCTAGGTTTGACATCTCAAATTATTTGGACAATTTGCGGAACAATTTTTGTCAGAAGATATTAAAGACTGGTAAAACATCCATGCAAGGGTTCAAGCCAACTTCAAACTAAATTCTGCTAGAACGAAAAGGAGAAACCCTTAAACTGGATTATGTGTTGGACCTCATCTCATTTTATTAAATGTTCTAATGTACAGTATGTGTGTATAATGCTAGGTGACTCATGTTGTCAGTGAGAACAAAGTGAAAGACCTTTACCTGACATTGTGCAGCAACAGCCTGGAGAGCACACTTCTCCACGCTACCCACCAAAAAAGGCTTGGAGACATGAAGTTCCTCAACCTTTGAGCAATAAACCTGGATTTGGTCCAGAGGATCTTCCTAATAAGAGCAAAAAATTGTTTTGTATATTTACAAATACAGAACAACAAACATTGACCTGGACAACTGCCCTCACTGACACACGTTTCATTGTTAAATGTCACATTTATTTCAGTTCAACCAGATGCAAATCTCAGTTGCTTAAGATGCTTTGTCTCAGTCATTTCAGTAGATTTGAAATGTACTGGAAGGCAAAATCCTGTGGTTTGATGGCACTTGTATGAACTTCTATTAAGCAACAAAGAAATGCACTGAGCTGAGCTAGAACAGACTAGACACCAGGGTTGGGAACAGGGCCGTCACTAGTGAGGAGAAAGGTGGTGACAATTCTAGGGGACCACAGCGTTGGTTTTATTATTTGCACGTGTTGCAAGTTGCAAGTTTATCATTTGCACGTGTTGTTAAGCCTTGGCAATTTAAAACCATTCAAGCCCAAGATGCTGCAAATGACCTTAATTCAGCATGCACACAGAGAGCTACATCTCTCAGCCTGCGAACACTGCAATGAGTTCTTTTTTGCATCATATTGCGCTTGAATGGACAAATACATACAAAATTATGCCAAAATCTTGGTGAGTATCCTCGAAAACCATCAGTGACCCTATTTTACTAGCTACTATCGGTGTCCTATATGTCATTCCGAGAAAAAAACAGAGAAAATCACTGCTCTATAACTTTTGTAGCTTTAACAAGGATTAAACTATATTTAATTTATACAGTGAAGACGACTATGCAAAGCTATTTTGCATATTTGTTCCATTTATGCTATTTAACCCTAAAATGTGGGACATATACTGAGGGATACAAACATTTGAGAAGCTGTGGGGAGAATCAGTGAAAGTGTAGGTCTTATTTCTTGGTTTCATTTTGAAGTGTTGTATATTTATTGTTGAATATTTAGATGAGGTGACTTTGTTTCTACATTCTTTGTTTAGCTCACAGGAAGCATTTAAATCTGCATGGCCGTCTGTAGTGGGAAATTTACTCACCCTCCAATAAAAGTTGATCTAGTTCACATACGGGCAGTCGTGGCCTAATGGTTAGAGAGTCGGACTTATAACCCAAAACGTTGCAGGTTCGAGTCTCAGGTCTGGCAGGGATTGTAAGTAGGGAGGAGTGAATAACCAGTACTCTCTTCCACCTTCAATACCATGACTGAGGTGAGACCCTTGAGCAAGGCACTGCTCCCCGGGCGCCGCAGCAATATAACTGCCCACTGCTCCGGGTGTGTGTGTGTTCACTGCTGTGTGTGTGTGCACTTGGATGGGTTAAATGCAGAGCACTAATTCTGAGTATGGTTCGCCAAACGTCACTTCACTTCATATTTACACATGTTGGAAGGCTTAAAAAACTGTTGTTCAGCATTAGGTTTACATTGAAATTTTATGAATTAAATGCTTACATTTTTCGTAATCTGTCTCTAAATGTTTGTATCTCAGGGAATACATCTCCCTCTTAGGGGTATAAATTAAGATATAAAAACATATTGTATATTTAGAATCTGTGATTGTGTGGCTTTCTGTTCAAGAACACCAAATCTCTTGTAATCTTGACAAAACACATATAGTTGGAAAGGTTGGACAGTCACGGTTCCATATTTGGTAACTGTTTTGTAATCGAAATGATTGATTTGTGACAGAAAACTGCATTTTAAAAAATAATAATCAATAGAGTTTGGGTGCCACCCAGTGGTTATTTTTGGCATAGTGTCCAAACAAAATCTCACAGGAAGCACAATTTTGTGATATCAGCTTCAAATTTGGAACATAACTTGTTTAGACATATGGCTTTGATTTTATAGCAATTTTAGAGTGCAACATTTTATAAAATATTGATTTAAAAGAAAATAATTATTATACTACATTATCTTTACTGTAAACTTAAACTTCTATAACTTTTTTTAATCCTTTGCTTAAATGCTTTCACTCCAGCAATAATCTGCTATGCGTATTCTTTAAAAAGAGACCAGAGAATGTCACTCCAGCATTTTCTTTGATTGGCTCATTTAAGGTTGCTAAGACTGTTTGCTAACGGTGTTTCACAGTGATAGACAGAAGCATTGGGTGAAGTGGTCATACCCGTGCTTTATCATAAATAAAACCGGAATTAAGACTGGAATTAACCATTTTGTAAGGCTAAGAAAATGATGACAACATTTTCATTACAGACTTACGTTACATTCAGGTCATGCGTCGTGATACTCTCCAAAATGGTGATATAGGGTGATGCAGTGGAGACGAATTGTTGAATAAAGTCGTTATTTTTGTTTTCTTTGAGAACAAAAAGTATTCTCGTAGCTTCGTAAAATTATGATTGAACCACTGATGTCACATGGACCATTTTAACGATGTCCTTACTACGTTTCTGTGCATTGCTCGTGGTAGTTCCCTTGCTGTCTATGGAGGGTCAGAAGGCTCTCGGATTTCATCAGAAATATCTTAATTTCTGTTCCGAAGATGGAACGACGTGAAAGTGAGTAATTAATGACAGAATTTTCATTTTTGGGTGAACTATCCCTTTAATGTTTTGCTTTGACTGGACAGTATCAAAAAAAGCTAAAAAGATAAATGTTGGTAACTACAAGGCTATTTTAAATATCATTTGCAGTTTCCTAGGTTTGACATCTCAAATTATTTGGACAATTTGCGGAACAATTTTTGTCAGAAGATATTAAAGACTGGTAAAACATCCATGCAAGGGTTCAAGCCAACTTCAAACTAAATTCTGCTAGAACGAAAAGGAGAAACCCTTAAACTGGATTATGTGTTGGACCTCATCTCATTTTATTAAATGTTCTAATGTACAGTATGTGTGTATAATGCTAGGTGACTCATGTTGTCAGTGAGAACAAAGTGAAAGACCTTTACCTGACATTGTGCAGCAACAGCCTGGAGAGCACACTTCTCCACGCTACCCACCAAAAAAGGCTTGGAGACATGAAGTTCCTCAACCTTTGAGCAATAAACCTGGATTTGGTCCAGAGGATCTTCCTAATAAGAGCAAAAAATTGTTTTGTATATTTACAAATACAGAACAACAAACATTGACCTGGACAACTGCCCTCACTGACACACGTTTCATTGTTAAATGTCACATTTATTTCAGTTCAACCAGATGCAAATCTCAGTTGCTTAAGATGCTTTGTCTCAGTCATTTCAGTAGATTTGAAATGTACTGGAAGGCAAAATCCTGTGGTTTGATGGCACTTGTATGAACTTCTATTAAGCAACAAAGAAATGCACTGAGCTGAGCTAGAACAGACTAGACACCAGGGTTGGGAACAGGGCCGTCACTAGTGAGGAGAAAGGTGGTGACAATTCTAGGGGACCACAGCGTTGGTTTTATTATTTGCACGTGTTGCAAGTTGCAAGTTTATCATTTGCACGTGTTGTTAAGCCTTGGCAATTTAAAACCATTCAAGCCCAAGATGCTGCAAATGACCTTAATTCAGCATGCACACAGAGAGCTACATCTCTCAGCCTGCGAACACTGCAATGAGTTCTTTTTTGCATCATATTGCGCTTGAATGGACAAATACATACAAAATTATGCCAAAATCTTGGTGAGTATCCTCGAAAACCATCAGTGACCCTATTTTACTAGCTACTATCGGTGTCCTATATGTCATTCCGAGAAAAAAACAGAGAGAAAATCACTGCTCTATAACTTTTGTAGCTTTAACAAGGATTAAACTATATTTAATTTATACAGTGAAGACGACTATGCAAAGCTATTTTGCATATTTGTTCCATTTATGCTATTTAACCCTAAAATGTGGGACATATACTGAGGGATACAAACATTTGAGAAGCTGTGGGGAGAATCAGTGAAAGTGTAGGTCTTATTTCTTGGTTTCATTTTGAAGTGTTGTATATTTATTGTTGAATATTTAGATGAGGTGACTTTGTTTCTACATTCTTTTTTTAGCTCACAGGAAGCATTTAAATCTGCATGGCCGTCTGTAGTGGGAAATTTACTCACCCTCCAATAAAAGTTGATCTAGTTCACATATGGGCAGTCGTGGCCTAATGGTTAGAGAGTCGGACTTATAACCCAAAATGTTGCAGGTTCGAGTCTCAGGTCTGGCAGGGATTGTAAGTAGGGAGGAGTGAATAACCAGTACTCTCTTCCACCTTCAATACCATGACTGAGGTGAGACCCTTGAGCAAGGCACTGCTCCCCGGGCGCCGCAGCAATATAACTGCCCACTGCTCCGGGTGTGTGTGTGTTCACTGCTGTGTGTGTGTGCACTTGGATGGGTTAAATGCAGAGCACACATTCTGAGTATGGTTCGCCAAACGTCACTTCACTTCATATTTACACATGTTGGAAGGCTTAAAAAGCTGTTGTTCAGCATTAGGTTTACATTGAAATTTTATGAATTAAATGCTTACATTTTTCGTAATCTGTCTCTAAATGTTTGTATCTCAGGGAATACATCTCCCTCTTAGGGGTATAAATTAAGATATAAAAACATATTGTATATTTAGAATCTGTGATTGTGTGGCTTTCTGTTCAAGAACACCAAATCTCTTGTAATCTTGACAAAACACATATAGTTGGAAAGGTTGGACAGTCACGGTTCCATATTTGGTAACTGTTTTGTAATCGAAATGATTGATTTGTGACAGAAAACTGCATTTTAAAAAATAATAATCAATAGAGTTTGGGTGCCACCCAGTGGTTATTTTTGGCATAGTGTCCAAACAAAATCTCACAGGAAGCACAATTTTGTGATATCAGCTTCAAATTTGGAACATAACTTGTTTAGACATATGGCTTTGATTTTATAGCAATTTTAGAGTGCAACATTTTATAAAATATTGATTTAAAAGAAAATAATTATTATACTACATTATCTTTACTGTAAACTTAAACTTCTATAACTTTTTTTAATACTTTGTTTAAATGCTTTCACTTCAGCAATAATCTGCTATGTGTCTTCTTTAAAAAGAGACCAACCTTTGGTCTGTACTCCAAATCATTCAGGAATTACAACCATGTTGTATCAAGCATTTATAAACAAGAGTCAAGTTTTGAAAGAAAAATCAAGAAATTGTATTTAGTCCCAATAAGTTGAAAAATGGCAATAAATAAATTTTCTGATGTCTCTTTATGGTTTTGCCCTTTTTAGGGTTAAAAGCATGATTTCAAATAGGGACCAGCTACAGCCCTGGACGGGATTTTAACTATTCCTGTTTAGCTTTTGAACCAAATAACAATTCCAGGTTCTTGACAAATTTAAGGTTTGATTCTGTTTGTAATTTTGAGGTAGCACCCCATCCCTAATAATCAGTCCTATATACTAAATAGAGTGCATTTGAAAATAAATGGCATTTGAAATGTGCAAAAGAAAATATCAAAATCAATACTGGTCACTGTATAATACTAAACAGGAGAAGAAAACCTTATTTTAATATCAATAATTATATTGATTTACATCTGAGTATACAAACTGATAAATATTTATATTTCATTATTAATATATATATATATATTTTTTTTTTTGGCCTGACTCATTAAAAAGAGTCATTAGCGCAGTATTCCAGGCACAGAATAGAGGAACGTAGATACTAAACAATGTTAACTGAACCAAAAGTAATTTTGAGACATACTCTGGAATTTTGTTATCAATACCTTTTGATACTTTCCCTCAAAGTCCCGTGTAAAAGTCTCTCTCCATTCTTTAGTAAAGTCCTTACTCACGAATTGAATGGATACAATGTTATTCCACATCTGTAAAGCAGAACAAACCAAATGATTATAATAAAGTATACAGATATAGATGATGGTCAGTTTAAATAAACATACTTGTACTGCATACCTCAATCTCTCTAGTGAAGCTGGCAGCCGTTTGATAACTTGTGTTTATAAGTCTGCCTCGGAAGGTTTGTCCAATCCATCTTCTGACAGTTTGCTTGGCATAACGGAGTAACTCACAAGTCTTCTCAGAGAAAGTGTCCGTTTGTTGTGTTGTCTTTGGGTTGAACAAATGTCAGGCATATTGGCTCATTGTCGTCTGAACATCTAATGGCTTTAATCAGTTATTATTTGAAACAAAGATATTATGATCTCAGAATGGAATACCTGGGCAAATCCTGACACAGCAGCCACAAGGTTCATGCAAGCAACAGGAATATCAGTAAGCGCATGACTGACTCTTTTGCAGATCATCTCTAGAAGTTTGCAAGCTGCTTGAATGCACTGAATGCCATAATCCTCATTCAGACAGCTATAAAAAATGAATGAAAATTAAAGCCTGTTAACCAGTGCATATTGATAGGGCTATTGTTTTTTTTTTATTTGATTTTCTTAATTTTGTATTAGGGGTCCTGATAATATTTTAATATAAAAAAAAATTACCACATATCATCTAGAAACCCTCTTGAGAAAATATTTTGCATATACATGCCAATGAAAAGGAAGTGTTCTTTTCATCATATACAGTATAACTGATGATATTGGAATCAACTTGAACTTATATTTTATCTTTATCTTTGCCCCAAGCCTTTGTTAAATTCTAACACTGACAGGAAGTAACTTCAACCAGAGTTTGCTATTTTACACAGTACTGGAAAAAAATTGCAATAAAACAGTTTTCACCTAAAAGATGATAACTGGACACCACTCAATGAATTAAAACATGCAACATAGGGCTAGTTTTTGTCATATTTTGCTGTTTTGTAATGTGTAAGTTTATGTGTTTGTCTTGTTCTGATCCTTTTTTAATTGTTAGATGGAGCTATTTCGAAGGGAAACAAAATATGGGTGATTAGCTCTGCCCAATTTCATGTTGTATTACTGGGCAGCTAATATTAATAAAATTCATATTTGGCATAACTCTGCTGGTATGGACTGGTGAAGGGTAGAGGCACACTTCTGTTCTTCTTTTAAATGCACAGATGTAACTTGTAGTAGGTCTTTTCTGGCTCCTGCTGATCGTACATATGTTTTTTTTCTATCCAAAGGTGAGTGATTATTGCTTGTCATTCTTTCACACTCTTTTGAGCATTTGTAATATTTCTTAAATATTAAACTTTGCTTCCTCATTGCTTCCAAACCCTTTTTTTTTTTTTTGCACCACGGCGCAGTTTTAATAGGTATAAAATTCCACGGCATACCACTAAACACTAAAATATAGCAAAATTGCACAAACATGCATTGCTTCAAATGGCATAATAAACTGGATATTATATTAAAAGTTGTATTCACATTAGAGTCGACCGATGTATCAGTTTTGCCGATTAATCGGCACCGATAGTTGATTGCTGTAACTATCGGTTATCGACAAAAATCCATGCCGATAGTTTTCTGGGTTGCGTCCATTGCTGGAGCGGCTGAGAAGGGTCTGCTGTCATTATACAGTGCGAGAGCGGCCTCTAGTGGTTGAAATCACTGACAGCACGTGCTATTTGTTTAGACACGTGATACTGCACGCTGAACAGAGCGGGAAACTTCAGACGCGGATTTAAATGCAGCCGACAGAAAATCCTGCCGCGCCACAGAGCACCATTCACATAGTTTTCCTTTAAATTACATTATATTGGTCCCGAATCGTTGTTAATGTACATAATGAATTGTGTATTGTGCATTTTCAGCAAAACGTTTGTCTTTCTGTGGCTCTAATAAAGTCTGTGTGCTTCATTTATAGAGCTATAATATAGGTCGCTCTTTCTGTTTGCTCAGTTTTTTTAAACACCGAACATCAAACTCATCTATGCCTCATTGTTCATTCTTGAAGTAAACTTGTGTCCGGTTGGTGATTAAATAAACTGTTTTAGACCGCTGCTCGAGTTGAACGTGACGCGTCCGGAGTGTGTGTGATACCGATGAGTTCTCCTAGACTCAGCGCTGCGCTTTTATTTTGATTAGATAATCATCAAGTGTTCAAGAATAGAAGAAGTTCAAGTGTGAGGGTATACATACAATATCCATATGTATATAATTATAATGCTATAGCCTTTGTGTATATATTTAAAGAT